GCTTCAATTCGGTCTGGCGGCGGCGCTTGAAGTTCTCAACGCTGCCATCGGCGGTGAAGCCTGCGGGATCCCAAAGTCCGACTGGGTCCTGTACACCGAGCTCGTTCTCGAACGCACGCAATGGCGATGCAGTGTAGTAGTACCTTAGGGTGCTGTCGTAACCGAACAAAGGGTTGCCGCCAGCAAACGAGATACCATCAGTCGTGATTGAATTTGCAGTCTTTCTTCATCCATGTGCGCAAGTAGTTCTTGGAAACCACCTGCTTGCAGTAAAAACAAGATGGCCGAAAAATGTCTTCGATGTAGTGTCTGCCTCTCGCAACAGCGTGCTTGTTATGCTCGTCAACGTCAAGTTGAAGTTTGGCAGTTCGAGTAGCGGAAAGCTTATCCGCTCTGGTGGTGGAGCCACTCTTGTCGGCTTTGCTCGAAATCGCATGACATTGCTTTGCTGCGAATTGTAAAATGTAATATCGCTGCACTGACTGTTTGCAAAAAATGCAGGTAGGGGCGGTAGCATCAGGAATACTGTGTCTGCCTTCCTTTTTTGCATTGACATTGAGTTGATCCAACTGCAACTGAATAGACTTGGTATGCTTCTCCTCCCGCTTTGTGCCCCTCGTAGTGGGGGCCTCTCCTGTATCCCAGCGCTCAAGAAAATCCTTGACTGCTCTGGCAGCATCTTCTTCCGATGAGAACGGCCCAAAAGAATGACGTTTGGCACCCCGTGGAATAACTGCTTTGTAGGTGTCATTCTTTTTCTTTTGAACATACTGGTATCTTGATCCGCCAGGCCTCAAAGAGGTCGAAAGCAAGAAGCCATGCTCATCAGCGTGGGGCTTGCTGTGATCTGGTGCGGCAATACAGGGCTTGGGGGCCTGAGGCTTCTTGGAACCACCACTTGAGGAAGGCGAAGCCGTAGGCGGTGCAGGAGAAGGCTTCTGATGAAATTGAGAGGGATCAAAATCATCAGGAGGCTCAAGTGGCTCAGCAGCCTTTCTTGCCTTGATTATTTCCACCATTGTAAGCTGGACCTTCTCCGGGAAGGTGCAAGTGTGCGGAAGTAGAGGAACAGCCTGTTGGCCTGCACAAAGAGCGCGGTGGTTCTGAACAATGGCGTGAGCTTGCACAGGAGTGTTGACAAAAAGGCCGGTTCGAAGCGTGCATGGCGATAAAGAGTGAACAAAGCGAAGTTGGCCGGCGGAGAGAGTGGCGGAGCGAACGCGGTCCCAAGCCGGGCAGAACCAGAAAAGATGTAGTAGATCTTCTTGTTGTCTCCAGCAATGTGGGCAGATAGGGTGGTCTGTCTGTTTGGCTTTGAATAAGGACTGCTGGGTATAAACGGCGCCCGCAACAATGGACCTGAGGATCCCTTTGTCATACTCAGAAAGGGATCTGGATTTGACAAGGGCAAGCGAAGCACCTTTGTCGATACCATTCTGTATACCACGGAACTCCTTGCGGTTGACAGAGGTTCTGGTCCAGAGCATTCGAGAAGCTCCCAGTCTCAAGATGTGCAGAAAATAGGCGTCGTCATGTTGAAGCAGGTGTAGTTCCAGTGTTTGCCCATGTCCGACAGGAACCATGAAAGTGAGTGGGGAAGTCCAAGTCCAGCCCATGTCTTTGCAGGATGTTTGAATGACAGCCAGTGGCCCTGTCATGTTGGAGCGACCATCACGTAGAGCATCGCGTCGCTGCTGGGTGAGATGCCAAAGGTGTAGCCACTGTGGTTGTAAATGCGGATGTTTCAAAAGCTGTTTCCGAGCGCATAGTAAGGGCCAGATAACCCGAAGCTGCACAGGATCAAAACGATGCCCTTTGTGACAGATAGAGAGAACGATGTCCACGGCCTTCTTGGCTCTGCCTCTCCAAAGGGCACGGACAACAGTAGAGCGCAGGCGGGTTTCAAGCTGTTTAGCACAGCCACCCATTTCCAACCCAAAGGTATACTTTGTCCCTCCTGCTGTGGTAAGCATGGTTTCTTTAGCAGAAATGCTAAGAGGGCAAATAGCAATCCTTTCAGCGACTGAGGAAAATTCGGCTGCACGCTTGTTGGCCAGCGCTCGTGACCTTTTCATCGTAAAAGAGGTTTGAGCCCCCAGAAGACGATCATCAGCGAGTGACTGCACCGGTTGGTTGTTGAGCAGGACGTTCGGTAGGGATTTTCTCCCAGTCGGCGTGGTAGCAAAAATGACCGTCTTCCGTAGATTGACCACAGCATCTGTGTACTCATCAAAGGACTCAGTGAGCTGGACGACGTCCTGGAGTAGTTGGAGCGATGTACCTCTTGCATTTTTGTCATCCATGTATGCACCAATGCTGCAGGCTGCTGTTGATATGTTGCCTTGGACAGTACGTGCCCACGCCGAAATAATGCAGTTGATCCTCAATATAGCAAGTGGGCATCCTTGCATGATGCCGTTGGTGTTGGAGAAGAGTGGACCGACTGAAGATCCCAACTTGAAACGCCTCTGTATGCCACGAGTGTAACTGAACGTAGCCTCCAGGACGCGGGGAGGCATGCCCATACTGCGCAAAAGACCATATTCAATAGTCCAGGCCACATTATCAAAACATTTCTTGTAATCCCAGAAGATACCAAATAGAGGATGTTTGGAAGCTTGTGATTGTTCGATGTCCAAAGCGAGTTGGTAGTAAACGTCTGTTGCCTCGCGTCCCGGTGCACCACCACGTAAGGCATCTGGGAGCCAGGAAACATGCCAGGATTGAATTGTTTGAAACGTATTTTAGCCCAAATCCTGTACAGAATAGGGGCCAGGGAGATAGGTCGAACATCAAGTGGGGAAGTCCCGGTATCTTTGCGCAAGGCTGCAACAGGAACTTCTTGCATGGCAGTGGGCCATTGCCCAGAACTTTCAACCAGGTTGTAGAGTTTTGTCAACGCGGACAATGAGATGTCACCAAGAAGTTTCAATTCATGTACACGCCAGGCATCAGAGCCGTGGGCAGATGGTTTGAGGTCCATCATGATACTTTTGACGTCCTCAAGGGTAATATCCCCAAGTTGAAAAGGACTGAGCTCAGAATACTGGCGATTGTCTTGTAGGCAATGTGGAAATTTCGCCAAGAAGACCTGGAAATCCGGGGGTTCCCTCTCAGTATAGCGGTTGAAAATGGGAGACCAAGCGTCAAGCATCATTTGATGTAGTTGTTGATGTCTGGTCGCGTATTCGTTGTCGTTGGAAGTTTTGAAGCAAGGAGCTACAAAAGGCTCACGATTGCGAAGCCAGGTGTATGTAGCCTTGCGTGTCCCATTCCAATCCTTGATGAGAGCTTCCTTAAAGGTGTCCATGCGCTGATGTTGTATCTGTTCCTGCTCAGAGTTCAGGGAGTCCTCCGCAAGTTGTAGAAGGCGCAAAAGCTGTGGATCGCCAGGTACTGAAGGGAGATGAAGGTCTTCATGAAAGAGCCTTCTCCAAGAGGAGGTGATGTTTGCCACAATCCGCCCAAATTGAAAATGAGCAGCAGAACCAACCGTAGGTATATGCTGGATTTTTAACCTCAGCTGCAGGATTCTTCGGCGAAGCTTTAAAAGGGAAGCAATCCGAATGTTGGCTGCGCCATCCTGCGGGTTTGCTGGAGGAGCTTGGACTGGTTGCGAGATGACTTTTGGTACCCGCCCTCGGCCACGATGTTTGCGACCAAGAGTATGGCCCTGCTCAAGAGCAAGCTTGACACAATATTCCTCTGCAGTTTGACACCATATACGAAAGGCCTCATCGACGTCATTGTTGTCAATAGCATTGTTGTAAGAGTGGTCCACATGTGACCAAACTTGTTGTTCCAAGGAAGATGTAGAGTTTGAATCAGGCGGTTTAATAGTGGGAAAAGCCTTGGGAGTTCTGTAAACCAGTTTGTGGTCGTCACTTGTATGGAAGTGAAGAACTAGCCGTAGAGGACAATGTTGAGGGATACCAGAGTCACGGATAACGTCGAGCTCCTGGACGTAGGGAAGCAGTACGTCATTGGCAAGCATCAAATCAATGCGAGTGCGGATATGCTGATTGTTCCCTTTCTGAAAAGTCCAAGTGGAGTCGGTGTAGAGCGCCCCTAAATCAAAGAGGCGTCCGGATTGAGTCAGAGTACCAAGTAGTGGCGATTTGTCGGGAGCGGTTTGCATATCCCCTGCGATTAAAACTGGAACGTCGCCCAATGAAAAAGCGGTTTGGCAAACATAATGAAGAAGCTGCTCGTTCAGTTTGAAGGCATGAGGGTTACGAGGACCCGCCCCAACGTACCCATAGACGTTGAAGATGTGCAGCCCTCGATTCCCAATACCAATTGGCACAAAGGTATGTGTACATCGTCCGAGCTCGAAGGCTGGGTTGTTGTGTTGAACATCTTGTAGACGATGCGGTTGAGTGGCAATGGTTGCCAGGCCGCCTGCTTTGGCGTTCCAAAGTGAAGGTAGCTTTTGAGCTCCTGAGAATTTGAATTGGCACGGACGGCCGAACAGAGCATCGTAGCCATTGGAGTGTAAAGAGCGCTTGAAGGATGCCTGACCATGCTTGTTGAGCATGGTCTCTTGGCAAAGGTAATATGTGGAATCTAAGGATTGGAGCGAACTCCAATTCTTTCGTAATGAAGTGATATTGGCGGAGGTAATCGACATAGGTCCATCTCCAGTGTAATTACTGGCAAAACAAGGCCCCAAGTGTAAGAGAATGAACCAGGCCATCAAAGGAAAAAACGATGCCCTCAGCGATGCGCACACTGAGAGAATATGGAAAAAGACAATCCCAGCGCGTGGTAGTCAAGTCTGTCTTGTCTTGCGAGGAGGACTTGGTTTAGCATTTGCACTGATGGCCTCCAGAAGTCGATTCTCCATGGTCTGTTGCTGGGCGCGAAAATCTTGTATGCTCTCTCTCACGGTAGACTCCAGACTTTGAACATGAGCATGTGTTTGCTGCAATTGGGAAGTAGTGGTAGCATGTTGTTGTCGTAGTGCTTCGCATTCCGCTGCAAATTTCTGCTCAATGTCCTGGACCTTTGCAAGGAAATTCTGTTCGGCCTGGGCGATTCTGTCTTCCACAACTTGTTGTACTTTAGGAGTTGTTTGCATCTGAGGTGTCGGAGTGGGAGCTGCTATGCCCGGCGGTGTGGTGAGCTTTGCACGCTGGATGCTTAGGAAAGCTGCCCATGGGTCATCAGGCACCTGTGTGTCCGCTGGCTTGTTGAGGGCGGTGGCCTTGGTTGGGACCCCGTCTCGAACAACAGTGACCATGGTATCACCAAGGGAGATGTACTCGCCAGGGGGATCCGTAGCTGCACCAACCAACCAAATGCAAGTGTCAGGCGATAAAGCCCAAGATTTAATAGGGATAGTGTTCCAGTTCCATTCTCGTAGTGCAGTTGCAACGGAGGATGCGGAGCTGCCAATGGGTAAGCCTTGCACCTGCCAATAGCTCGAGGCAATGACCGAAACGTTATCGTCAGAGAAGAGACCTTCAACGCAGAATTGCTTTCGAGCCTGCACGATTCCTTTGTCAGAGAAGCGGAGGGATTTTGAACCTGTAGTACTCCTGTGAACCCCCAAAAAACCCTCCAACTTGGCGGCCTCAGCCAACGCTTTCTCAAAGGACTTTTCCTTGAGCTGGCTGTGATGAATGAGGGCTAACTGCAATGTAGGTGTCTTTCCTTGCCTGACCTTTTCTTTGAAAAAGAGCCCGTTTGGACCACTACGATGAAGGATGGCTTCCAAATTGGTTGCAGGGACTTTGATAAGGCCGATCACCACGCTGGATTTAGCGACGATCGCGTAGGCCTGGGTGACAACCTTGGCATTGAGAGCAATGTCCAAAATTTGACGGAATGCAGTACGCGGATTCTTGTGGAATTCCAACTGTGTAGCTGAATCCAAGGCTTCTGTTTCAATCAATCTCGACAAGTTCTGGTGGCGTAGGCAAATTGACTTCTGGAGTTGAGCTCTGAAAGCTCACTTTCGCTCCCAATCGGACTAGTAGTACTTGTTTCGGAGTTGTAGTTTGATTGATCGAGTCGAACATGGCAATCTGGCGCTCTTCGAAAGCAATCTTGTTGTCACGAAGAGTTTGCATGAAGCTGTCACCCTTCGGAGTTAGCATGGCCAAAGGGTGAGTAGAGGTGATTCCCAGGAAACGCACAGCATCCTTCAGATTCGCGAGGAAAACGCCTTTGGCGATCGAATTGACCTGGGTGTCTGTGATAATGGAGATGTGGTTGCCCGACTCATCAACGAAGAGCTTGTCGGGCTTGGGAACAAGATCTTTCCAGGGTCCTCGTGGGGGTGACTTCTGCATGGGCCTCCCTTTCCCTGCACCTTTTCCACCCATGGAGGGTGGAGAGTCCAACAGAAGCCGGCCGATCTCGAAGTACTGATTTTGAAGGAAAAGATCATGTGCTTGTTGTTTACGTTTTGAGTCTTGAAGGAGCTTCTTAGCTGCATCTTTGACCCAATCTTGCTTCATGCCCAATTTGACTTCGAGAACTTCCATGAGCTCTTTCATACTGATGTTGCCAACAATGGCATGCATCAAGCGATTCAACTCCGCAGAGCTGAGAAACCAAGAATAGGTGGAAGGAAGACCTCTACAGAAGAGAGTCTCGAACAAATGCGCGAGTCGTCGTCTTGGGAAGGCTGCTGAAGGCCTTCTTCTAACTTGCCTACATCGTCTGCGACCAACAACCCTGGCACAAATGATAGTGATCTTGCGCTTCCTGTGGAAGTGGAATCCCGCAAGAAAGGCTTGCAAGAGAGACCGGAAAAGTGGCATAAAGAACGTGAGCATGAAGTAGCCAAGTATGAAGTTGTCATCAGCTTGATTCTGGTAGAAAAAACATGCCATGAACAGATAGCACAACATCAGAACTTTCATACAGCAACTTGGGAGGATCGAAAGATCCATCCAGACTCCACGTGGCTTGTGTACCGGACGTGTGCTGCTGGGAGTCCATGGCGATGCAGTGTAGTTGGCCCAGTCNNCTTCCGGTCAGACCATCCTGTCATGTGAAAACAATCAAAACACATCATTCTACACAAACTAACCACTACGACTACGAAGTTATATCGACATATCAGAAGCATCTGTTGACAGCCCACACACACACACTCTAGCGTACGCAATTACACTAGCACAGACTGATACATCGCATGGCTTCTGATGGTATGTTCCGTATGTTGATACCGCACCTGAAAGAACATGCCGATGATGGCCATCATCGCAAGCCTTCCATTGGCCAACTCTGCCGACAACTTTTTCGTCTTCTCAGCTGGGTCGCTGGAGGTCAAGACCTTGAAGCCGAAGTCGCCCGCTGCGGCTGGGGTGCCCGGA